ATGCACAGAGCTTCTCAAAGTTATTCCCATCCACCAAGAACACTGTCATCAACGGCCTCTATCTGTCTGAGCGGTTTCCCGGGCTGTACGGAAAATCCGTGAATATCAGCAGACAGATACGGGATGACTACGAGGCCGCCCTCCGAAAATTCGATGTCTTGGTCATGCCTACCACGCCTTATGTCGCCCCAAAGCATGGGAGTCGAGAGTCACCCCGGTCGTGCTTCGAGCCCAGCATCGGTCTAACCACCAACACCGCTGTCTTCAATGTCACCGGCCATCCGGCGATGACCATTCCCGTCGGGGTCGCCCCGGCGAAAGAGGATCGTTCAGTCCTACTTCCTGTTGGCATGCAGATAGTCGGTGGGCTTTGGCAAGAGCAAACGATCCTGAAGATCGGGCATGCTTGGGAGTCTAATTTCAACTGGAAAGCCCAGAGACCTCAGAGCGAACTTCTGCAACAAACTATGGCAACGAAGAGATACACGAGTGATGAACCACTTGATGAGAAACGTTTTGACGAACTAGAACGACGGCTGTACTCGCTGTTGCAGATGTAGCAGAGAAGCATAGTTTCCTAATGAATAGTATACCCGCCATCAACAACTAATGCGTGCCCCTGAATAAAAGATGCTTGACTTGAACACAAGAATAGTACGGCATCAGCTATCTCGTCCGGTGTACCCATTCTCCTCATCGGCGCGATGTCGATGGCAGGTTTCAGTCGCTCAACAACCTCTGGTGAGCCCGTTGTCATGGGTGTCTTGATGACCCCTGGGCAAACACAATTGATCCTGATCCCATCGGCTGAGTAGTCAATCGCGTCGGACCTCGTCATGTTGATGATGGCCGCTTTCGAAGCACAGTAAGGAGCTGAATGGGGATGGTCAGTCAAGGAACAACCCCGCCATCGGTCTACTCGGACGTACCCGCAGTCGGTCTGCCTATGATACCGAGTTGACTGGCGATATTCACGATGGAGCCCCTTTGATTTGGATGATCTTGGGGGTCTTGCTTCATCATTTGATTCAAAGCTGCGCGGGACGCAAGCCATGTCCCCTTGTAATTAATGTTCGTGATTCGATCGAACTCCGATGTGGGTGTCTCGTGAGAGCGAAGGGATTCTCCCAATACACCGGCGCAGCTGACAGCGTAGTCCAATCGGGAGAAGCTCTTACTTATTCGTGCTGTAAAGGAGGTGATGAAGGATTCATCGGTCACATCGCCTTCCTCTGCTAATACTTTTGCCTTGGGGTTGATGGCTAGCACGGCGTCTCTTGTAGAAGCAAGTGATTTGATGTCCGTGATGGCAAGCCTGGAACATCCTGAGCGGGCGAATGCCTTGGCGACTGCAGCACCGATGCCTTTTTTCGAAGATGTTCAATTCTCCAAGTCTGAATCGTTCATGGGGCTCGAGTGCACTCACCGGTACCGCCAGCTCCCGTTATGAATGCCACACCTGGTAGCTTGAACACTGCCGCCATCTTGACCTGCATGAACGTCGTGAAAGGAATGTTCATGCTACTGCTACATAGTATGTTCCATATCCCATGGTTGAGGCCCAATAACGCACTGTCTTGTCTTGTCTTATCGCGACGCCGCTTGATGCCGGACTATGGATCCCCGTTGGCCCCTCATGTGTACTCCAACTTGTGCATCCCCTGCTGTGCCGGTGCCGATAGCGCTTGCGGAGTATTTCGTGAGTAAGAAACAGCGCAGACTGGATAAGATAAAGTAGGCAGGTTGGAGTAGGTAGGATGTACCCACGTTATCCACCAAGAGAGATATGTAACCCCAATCGTTCCCCAGAATCTCTCGGGAAGCCTCCAACACTCCAACTTCCAAGCCATCGGCGATGATTGGGGTGATTTTTGAGCTCCCGAGATACGATGCTATCTCGTGATAGCAGCCGGGCCCAGCAAGCTCCAGCACGTCGACGGCGTGGAGCAGCTGGTGGCTCATTCAAGCATGTGTGTAAGCATTGCGAGCGGACCTTCAAGCGTTCTGAGCACCTAGAACGCCATGTACGAACGCGTGAGACCCCCAGATTGTCTTCCTTCTCGGAGACTGCCTCTCTGTACGAGGACCTTCCGGTTCTCCTTCTGCAGTCTAGGAAGCTGAGATGATTGACTGCAAGCATAACAGATACCAAAGAAAAGCCTTTTATTTGCCATTGCGGTTCGGCCTTCACCCGCCGTGACCTTCTTACACGTCATCAACGCATCGCGTCCCATTCAGCCTCGACGGAGGCATTGAAAGATGTGCCACCAGATGCGAGCCCGGAGACGACAGCGGAGTCAGACGTGGCTACCGCCGCGGCTGCTGCGTCACTCTCCGACATGAGTGCCAATCACTGGGTCCAGCAGTCACAGTATATCGATAATCAACCTTTCGCAGCCCACCAAGATGTGCCCATCAGCACGTTCGACCAGCGACTGCTAAGCCAGGACATATTCGGACAAGGTAAGAATCTCTCGCGCACGAAAACGGTATGAAGATCACAGCTCAAGCCAAGAGGGATGGCAAGCAGAAGTCTTTTCCAATGATATCGTCTCCCAACATAGGCACGCTTAGGGAGCAAACTTTTCTGACCCCAGCGTAGGTGAAGGAGTCGCAAATTTCGACCATTTTCGGGAGTTCGCCAACTTTCTTGATGGTGTAGGCTTGCCAGCAGAATGGAGTCCCTACTTCAATGAGTCTGACTTGAGCAATGGAGTCGTTGATCCTGCCCTCCGGCAGTCTAGAACGGGGACGGCCACACCTACTGCTGCGAGAGGGACGCGCTCTGGCACCCCATTCAACTCATGGCTTCCATCGGCTCCCGAGAAGAGTTGTTTGCCACAGAACCTACCCGTCGCCGGACCTCGTGAGGTTGCTTCTGAGTTTCCGTCTTTTAGGGTATCGGAGGAGCAACGCTCACAGCTCGATGCTCACTTGAGCACATTCCAACATGTGCTCATTTCTGACTTCAAGTTACCAAGTCGTCATACGCTGACGAGGTACATCACTTCGTACTTTGAAGGCTTCCATCTCCATCTGCCGTTCATTCATGTATACACGTGGCGACTGTCTGACTGCCCATTAGAGCTCGTTCTTGCCATCGCGACGGTAGGAGCACAGTATTGCTTCGAGCACCGGATGTCAGAAAATCTGTTTCACGCCGGTAAAGCTGTCCTTATGGAGAGGCTAACGCGCGAGCTCAAGCGATTTGGTCCAAAGACAACTGCGTTTATCACATTACATAAGTATTCATCTCAGAATCGAACAAGTGATGATTCGGGGGATCAAAGCCAAAAGACAAATGCTTGGGATCCAGTAGATACTGTGCGCGCTCTGACCATCTTGATGGCTTACGCGACATGGGAGCCAAAGGAGTCCCAGGTCCGCGAAGCATTCGCATTACAGGGTCTTCTCGTTCAGATTCTGAGAGACATCGGGCTTGACGAAGAAGAAGAGCACGCATCTAGAGATCTCAATGATCTGTCACCTCACGCCGCATGGTCGATATGGCTAGCTTACGAGTCGACGCGACGTACCAAACTCATCGCCTTCACCTTCCTGCACACGCACAGTGTAGCGTACAACACTTACCCCGTGCTGCGAAGCAACGAGTTGCGCCTGAGACTGCCGTGCTCGACGTCAGAGTGGAAGGCCGCATCGCCTGGACAATGGCTAGCTGCGCGGCGTGAGATCAACAAGGAACAGCTTGACTGTCAGGTGGCGCTGGCTCTGCTTTTGAGGAACTCGGAGGGCACTGCTCCTTTGGATCCAATACCAACTCCTCTTGGTAATTACGTGCTCTTACATGGTTTGCTGCAACGGATACACATTGTGCGGGACTTGTCGCTGCCCATTATGGACCAGAGTGCCTCGCTTCCGAATGAAGAAGTGTCCAAACTTGAGTAAGCCGTTTGATGACAACAGCTGCCTGGCCCACCTCTACTGAAGTCAATGTAGCCAATACTCGATAACATGCTGATACGTGGTTCTGAGCAGGCGTGCGTTACGATCATGGACTACAGGCTGGCAACAGGCCCCCGAATCAACTCTAGATCCGAAGAACGAGAATGGGCCTATCCCATTCACCTCGAGCTCTCTTCTCGGGCTAGCCTACGTCCGTATCTATCTCAACCTCGGTCCGTACCGTCAACTCGAGTCGCGCGATCCAGCGCTTGTGGCGCGGTCATTGTGCAGATCACCTGCCGTCAAGCGTAGCGACGGCGTGATATCTGCTCTCCTGTACGCAGCGCACGCGTTGAGTATTCCCGTCAGACTGGGCATCGATCGCGTGGCGCGCAGCCAGGCGTTCTTCTGGAGCGTGCGACACTCGCTGTCCGGGCTGGAGTGCGCGGTGCTGCTCAGTAAATGGTTGCATGAGCTGAATGACACCATCCATGCGACGCCTCTCAGCGGTGAGTTAAGCTCGATGTGCATTTTACACTTTTCTGACATCCCTCTGATCTATGTGCATGTTAAGACAGCGAAGACCGCATATTGCATTGGGTCAGATGCATCGTCGAGGAGGCATACGCAGTGGTAGACTTCGACGATGGCAACCACTCCAAGTCGCAGCGCGATCCCCTCTCTTTGAGTCGAGCCGTGCTAGAGATATGGGCGTATTTCTTCAAAAGCAATACCCAGTGGAAGTTTATTAACATTATTGGGTTCAGCTTAGAAAAGTATCGGGAATTACTGGTTCGTTCAGCGCGATAACCACTATCATGATTATGAGAGAGAGGGATTGATAAGCAATAAGTATAGGCACACCACATAAGATACCCCATGAGAACTGAATACACAATGCCGTGCACGTAAGCTTGGATTTTGTAATGCGTGCCAAATAAAAGGACTAAAAGAATATTTTACTGGTTGCAGGTTATTGCATGGGCACAAGGCCTCGGAGAAGCTCGTACAAAACCATATGCTGATCACATCAATAAAACATTAAGTCAATCCAACTGCTCATGGAATTAGAAAGGTAATGAATTTGGCAAAAGGAACTCCGAATCGGGGAATCGAACCCCGGGCTTGACGGAACACCGATGACTGTTAGATCATGAGAGCGTCAAATGTTGGCCACTACACCAATTCGGATGAATTGATAGAATTTTGCCGCTTATTGACTAATATATTCTACAAAAGCTGGGCTCTAGATAATTGGTCGGTAGGCCGCGAAATGGTTTGCTAGGTGGGGAGAGCTCCAAATAGTGGAGATGTTTGTACCTCACGCAATGGTGTCTTGAGAGACACTCTTCAGCCAATCTTGACCGCCTAGCGAATACCCGATTGAATCAGAAGTCAATATATAGGGCGATTACCGTGATATCGAACTGTCTTCTGGTATGGCGTCCTGCAGTACGCCCCTCTTGCGTCAAGTGACTGGGCTCTTTCTGTAGGGCTGTCACTTGTCAATGTAGTGCACAGAGGGCCTAGGTGAGTAGCGAAACCCGAACTCGTTTACATTAAACACAGCGTCCTGGTCAAACATTATTTGTCTGTACTTCATTGGGAGCGACGCGCTCGAAAGCGCAACTATTTTATATGATTTCTAGAGCAGAGTGCAGGTACCGGCTTCACAGCTGGCAGGGAGATTGTGAAAATTCTCTGTTGGGCCGAGGTACCCCATCAACGAGACTTATCATTTATCACTTACAGAGACTAAAAGCTGACGAGAGCCGTCTGAGTCACCTCGATAATATCGATCCCAGTGGTCAGTAGTCAGACGACAAGAACCACTTCTCCGGACGACAACTGCCGCGCGGCATATGCCAAGATGCATGATGCCAGCAGCCAGGACCCAGGGTGGGATTTCGGGTAGACCGTAACGGCAATGTCATCCACTGTGCCACTTTGCGCCCCCGCATCTCTGCCTCAAAGGTGTAGCCCTCGGTATTTGACCATGTCTCGTCGAGGAAAGGCTCATCCTCACAGCTCGCCCTTTTGGGGGTACTCAAGTCCCATGTCGAATTCATACGTGGTATTCTCACAATGGAGCAACTCAAAAACTTCGGAACGTCCATCGAGGATGTCTTGATGCCCACCTTTGGCGCGTATGAGAAGCTCTTGGTGGCCAAAGAAGCCGAGATCCGATCCACCCGGCACGATACGCACAAGTATGGGCCGGATCCCCGACAAGAGCTAGACATCTACTATCCCAAGGGGGCGCCAACAGCACCCTTCACTGCCACGCCTGTCCTCGTCTTCTGCTACGGAGGCGGCTTCGTGGGCGGCGACAAGGTCAACAAGCCATATGCGAACGGACTGATCTTCGGGAACATTGGACACTACTTCGCCTCCAAATACGGGTTCACCGTCATTGTGCCGGATTACCGCCTCCTCTCCCATGGGGCCAAGTATCCTTCGGGGGGCGAAGACGTGAAGCTGGTCGTTGACTGGATCACAAACACCCTGTCGAAGCAGGAAGGCTACGATGCCATCGACTTGGTCTTGATGGGGAATTCGGCGGGCGGCGTCCACGTCGGGACGTATCTCTTCGATCCGACGTTCGCAGAGTCCCGGAAGAGCGTGCTGGCTGCACAGCGTAAGGGCAAAGGGACGCAGCTGACAGGCTCGATCCTCCTCGGTGTTCCGATGCATTGGGGCAAGGAGGACAATGAGGTCCTGCGAGGGTATTTCGGAGAAGGCAAAATATATGAGCGCTCACCGATGGGCTTGATCGAGGCGGCACAGGCCAAAGGCTCGGGCCTGGACCTGCCGGGTCTTAAGTTGTCAGTCATGGTGAGCGAACTAGATCCAGACTTCATAATCGACTCGGCGGAGGAGTTCAAGAAGCTGTGCCAGGGTATCGAAGTGGAAGTCGAGGTTCTCAAGGGCCACAATCACATCAGTGTGCAGCTTGGATTAAGCACTGGTATTGAGCATGAAGAGGCATGGGGTATCCAGGTCGCAGAATTCTGTAAGAAATGTGCCACTTGACTAGCAGTACGTTCCATTAGATCTCAAATATGATGTAGATGCGATGACACCATAACAGTGGTCTTGGTAGTTGTCTACCCATCTCCATCCATCTGTCCACCGTCAGACTTTTCTCGCTTCAACGACGCCAGCATCATTTGCCAATTGAGTCTGATGCTCTGTAACTGGCTGGAGATCTTTGTCGCTGTCCCATAACCCATCAAATATTAGATTCTCTAGTCTTTACATCCATGAACCAAATCGTCGGCATCTTGTCTGTGTACTTTTTCATGTCTTCCACGAAGAACCTGTTTTCCTCCTCGGACGTCTCTTCTTTGACTCTGTTGAACGTTGCCATGTCGGGCCAATCGCATTGAAAGACCACGCTGAACGGGCCGGCGTCATCCTGGGCTGCCATCGCGCGCCACTGACCCATACCCTTGGGCTTCCATGCGCTGGCGACCGCTGGGGCGTGATGCTCGAGATAGTATTTCATGTCGAATACGGCGTCCTTGGGATAGGCTATCATCATCGTGACAGTCATCTTGGCGTTGTAGGGAGCGGGCTGGCTCGAGTGATACGCAAAAGCTGGACAGGTAAAATCGAAAGCCAGGCAGGATTCATAACCTCGATGGGCAGGAAAGTCGAGGCTTAAGCTCATGTAGAAGGAGTGCGTCTTCGTGGTGTGTCGGTGCGCATTTGCCGGCGTTTTTGGCTTTTGCCTATTACCCTGTGGATCAGTACTACACCCTACACCTTCACAAATATCGACTCTCGGTCCTGGCCAATGATTAGTACAATTGCATATCGCAGATCGGTTTTACTAAGCTCACATACCGAGGGTCTTGTAATAGCCCTTCTTTCCATATCCCTCAGAATACATACCCCCTACCACGCATTGTTCCGAGGCAAAGCGCAATACTCTGTTCATGACACGGCAAGTCCAAGCACCGTCTGCGAATTCCAAGAGTACATTCTTACGGTGTTATCATATCTTAGGTCACAACAGGGGCTCGAGGTGGTATCAGTGACCGAAATCATAGCTATCTGTGAATCCCAAGGAACTTTTCTTCATATCTCCATACACAAACTCGCCATGTGCTCCAGGCCCAGGCCCCATCGAAGCAACAAATCAGATTCGTCCATAATCACCAACTCTTATGGACTGAGGGAGCTGGATAACGCTGCGATTCCTTGTCGTTGGCCGTACCACGCCTGTCCGGTCGATTTGGGGGATAGTAGTAGAGGTTCTTGAGAGTCTCGTCGCTGACGTCTTGGGGACGTCCTTCCTCGCGCTTGATCTTTTCGTTCTTAATAGGGTTCATCCTAACAATAAATCCGTTGGTGGATATTGTTACCCCGGTCTTCAAAACTTTCTGCTCATCTTTCATGTACGTTGCCATGACCGGACGATCCATCTTGTTGCTTATGTATCCCACGTGCCTGCCCACAGTCGTTGAAGCCTCGGCCACTTGAGGTACACGCGTCTGGAGAGTCTCTGGTGCAAACCCTCTCTCAACAAAGTCCTTCTGGTGTTTGTGCAGTATATGCCCATATCCCGCCCTAATTCTGGTTTGTCCTGGCTGAAGACGGCCTTTTTCTAGCCACATGTGTTGAGGCCTGGGTGTATCTTCCTTCCACGGGATCTCGCTGGAACACCAGCAAGTATTAGTACATACCCTCAACGGCAACTGTCTAAGAGCCATCGCGCAGGCGATGAAAGAATGGTTCAAGACTCACCTGGTGCCATTGGGAGGGACATGCCAAGCATGCATGACATCTTCCTTCGTGATCTTGTGGCCGTCTGCCTCGATCTTGTCGACGATCTCCTTCTTCTTTCCACTAAACAAAATGATGAGTATGGTGCACAGAAGTAGAGTAAGTAGACTTGGACGTTGACTCACAACAACATTATGAGTGCGGTATAGGTATGAATGGCGAGGTAACGAATAGAGTATGCAGCTGCGTATGAAGTCGGCTGTGGAGGCGACAGTAAGATATCGCTCAAGAGTCTCCCGAGATCCTTGATGATGAATTCACGCTGAAAGTGCACTGTCGATCTCAGTCTGTCTGCTCTTCGCATGTGTTCGTTATAAGTGCGACGAACGAGAATAAATACACATTGAAAGGCCATGGTCAAAGTTGAAAATGAAGAGAACTAGACACGAGGAGGATGTGGCCAACAGACTCGGGCCAGACGAACTATTCTCGATGTCCTTGGCGTCTATCATCCAGGTACCTAGGGGTTGTTGGTTATGTGATACTGTACCTAGCAGTTCATGGACAGACGTAGGTAACGGGTAACCCCTTCACTATTCCGTTCCATTGGGAGGTAATTTGCCGTTCATTTACGCCTGTCCAAGGTAGCCGACCAGAACTTCTGTCTGTATTCACATGACGTCCGGGGGGCATGATCAGATCTGGCGCTTAAGAGGCGGCAATCCTCTCGAGGTCCATTTCTAGGTCATGAAATTTACCAGTGAGTCGGCACAGCGGCAATCATCTACAAGACTTTCACCAACGAGAGATCCATAGGGTATGATCGAACACATCCTTAGATAACATTTGGTGTTGGAAAGAGGTACATGCTGCCTTGTCCCAGCCTCAATGTGACGGGATAATTAGACATCTTGATTGGCGGGATCGGGGGTTTCTACAGGCGCCGGCCAACCAGTGGCACCTTGGTTGCGGCGCAGTTGGCCTGCCGCTATCAGGCGCAGCTTGCAGCGTCCCAATGACCGGGACATCAAGGCACAGCCACCCGCTCAGGGCCTCCAAGAACTATGACTGTGAGCGCGTTCAAGAGCCGACATTCTTATCTCATAAAAGCTCGATATGCAGCGAGTCTAGAGGGAAGAGGCCACACAATTTGACAAAAGAACGACACTGCTTTGACTCAACCAGAATCGATCGTCAGTACCTACATCTCATTTTTCCAAACACATCCAAACACAACAAGTCTCCCACACCGGGTCTTCATTCATATCTGTGCCAGTCCATCACCCAGGTTTTTTTTCGATATCTATCACGCAGCACGACATACTCAATTGAAATCACTACCGGCGCCCTTCAATCTGGAGTTGCATATAACGATGGCACCATTTGACTCCACTGATGTTATCAACCTGCTCGCCACCAGCATAAAAGGAGGTTGCAAAGTCACACTCGAGACCTCCTAC